CGGGAAAAATTGAAGGAAACCTTTGATGTCGACTTTGCAGACCATAAAGCAGCCATCGATAAAATCACAATGGATGTATGGTTTTGCAATGTTGTCACAGCGAAGTTATATCATTAAACATTTTATAGATTTACAACAACTGTTTTTGTTTCATTGATAGTTATTGAAGATAATTGAAACAAATACCACCGGGAGAGCGAAATCAGAGACAAGTAATAAATCAGATTCAGAATCAGATGATGGAGTCGTTTTTACAGACCGCTCACCGAGAAAGAAAATTAAGGTTTGCTCATTTGTTTTTTATTCTGCAATTTCATGGTTTTTTTAATTCTTGATAATATTCTGAATGAAGGAATTTTGCATTATGGTTCTGTTCAAATACGTCTTTTAAAATTTTGTAAATTTTTAGTTTCCATAGCGTATACCACATAATTCATCAAGGTGTTTAGTATATCGATCGAAGCATAGACCTGTTCTCTTAAATAGAAATTTTTAGGAAACGAGGAAACGAAAATCTTCAGAATCAGACGCGGAGTTGCTGGAAGTTGGACAAAAAAGGCGAAGAGCAGCGGTAACAGCAAGACAAACCAAGAAAAGGAATAAGGGAAGTACTGAAGGCGGATCAAAGCCTCGCAAAAGGAAGGTCTAAAGTTCACCTGTTACATTATTTGTGGTCAGGAAATCTTCTGCACAATGTGATCAGAACGCCTCTATTCATATTGTTGTAGTAGTCGGAATGGTTCAAAGTGTAGATGTTTTTATGCGAGAAAGTTAGCGGGTCGAGCAGCTAAACCTAACGAACAATAGTGTCTCCTTCTAACGTATAATTTACCGATACCAGTAACCAAATCTTGTAACTTTGCACTTAATGATAAAACGTCATGTATATGGTAGAGTGATGAAAATGGGATTGTGAAATTAATGGTTTCTAATTTCAGTGGCTTTATACATCAACTCATTGTTATTACGTTTTGCCTTTTTTCTCATCTTTTTATAAAACTTTTTAAACATATTTCACATTTTTTATTCTACGATTCTTTTTTGAATCCAATCAGTGTTATTCTCAGGGCCCATATAATGTTTACTGCGCACTGACGGAAGATCTTGCTGCAGTTTGTGGTAAACAGTATATGCGACGGTGTGATGTGATCAAAGCAATGTGGGCATATTTTCGGAGCAATAACTTACTTGATCCAAAGGTATGTTACTCTTGCTCATGCTCATTTTCCTGAATAATGCAGAAGTTTCTTCGCTTCCTTTTTGAATCGTAAATCATAAATGAGTAGTTTATTTTTTCAGGATAAACGTTATGTGTTGCCCGATGAACTTCTCATGAAGATTTTCAAGAGGCGTTTTCTCGCTTTTGGCTTAATGAAGGATCTCGCTCCTCATATCATCGAACCAAAGTTTTTGAATGAGAAAGAGCGAGCTGCTTTGGAAAAATTCGAAGCTGAAGAAGAAGCGCGGTTGGAAGCTGAGAGCAATAATAATAACAATAATAGTAATGGTGGTGATGGAAATGTAAAGCAGGATGGTGATAGTACGAAGAAAAAGGGAGAAAATAATGATGAAGAAGAGGGTGATGGCGATGATGAAAATGAAAGCAGCAGAAGCTCTCGTAACTGAAGTTTTTCTTTCTGAAGGTAGCCAGTAATGATATTCCAGAGTTAGGAGAAATTGAGCTGCTTGCTCTTCTCACCTTCAAATTCCGGTAAACTATAAGGTATTCGAAGCAACGCAATAATTACTTCTATGCCATCATTTTCTGTTGAATACCTTGAAATCGCTTTAGGCGCTTTTTATAATTAATCCATGCCTCACTATCTCTTATATTTTCTCATTTAGCTTTATCATCGTGGTTGTCTTTTCTAAGTCTTTGTTACCTTCATTTTATATTTCATTTATAGATTTATTTACTTTTTGCTTCTTGCAGAAGTTTCGTAAATTACTATGAGCGAAAACCGATGTTATTGTACAGAGCCACTTAGATGAAGATTGCTTTTCTCAGTTTCATTCAGCCCAATTCTTGTCACTACCGCGTTTGCACTATTACGGTTACCTCATTTTGAACATAACTGCTCACCATTATTGTCAATTTAATGAATTTACAGTGGTTGAGTTGAATATTTGAATAAATGCCTTTAAAATAATGAAATACGGACTTTGAAAAATTTTGGTTGTTCTCTCATGGTGAGATAATATGATATTTCTTAACTATATAGCACTTCGTTTTATTCCCTCTATAAGAACTCATATCATTTTTTAAAATATTTCCAGAAAGAAAATAATCAAATATCGACTATGTTTTAGTTATTACCAGAGTATATTTGAAGTGCTGTTGGAATGTTTCTTTTCTTAATATAGAATTGTATAAAAATATTAAGTATTCATGTTTTTGTTTTCCTTATATATCATTGTTTTGTTTTTGTTCATTACTGTACTGGTTTTACCAATACAAAAACAATTAAGCTTTATGCACCGGCAGTTCAGTGTATAAATTCACAAGAACAACGCGTGGATTGGCTTGTAAACTCTTAAATGACTGATGCATAGCAGCACTATCATTAGTAGTGTAGGACGCTGATGATCTGATGACGATCGTGGTTATGATCAAATCATTTGGTAAAAAATACATAATAACTTATTTCTATATAAGTATTTCCTTTTGTGGGTGATGCTGATGAAGTGAACAAATTTGAAGCGCCATTGTTAATTGATGCGAATAGGATGCATTATTTGATTTTATCCGATTGCAAATGATTCAAAGTACAAAGTTTGTGCGATCGAGGAATTTTCATGCGATAAAGTACGGGACGTGCCGCTGTTCTGTTCGCAAAGTTAAAGTTAATAGACGTATGAAGTGATTCGGGATACCATCGCCTACTGACCGATCTAGAAAATTTGGTAGTGGTTCTTGAGTCTATTCAAACATTTTGACGCTTCTACCTGTTAATTGTTTCTTGCACTCCAAGAAATTTCTCGCACTACCTTTAATATTCTAATAAATTTTATCATGTATCTTTTCTTTTTTATTCGTAGCTAATTTCTCCATTCGCAGACCGTGAAGTTTCTTATGCAAGATGGTAGTAATTTTAATGTAGGTTTTGACCATTTACTAAGATTAGAATCATTTCAGAATAATTTGCAGTTTCTACAGTCTGGCATGAAATTTCTCAAAGTCTCATATTTAATTCCTTTTAAATCTTGAGCTCAAATATATCTGTTCGAGATGGACTATGAAGCTTACAACATACAAACAATTTATTATGATCCACATCCTCATTTTACGGTTCTAGATTTGCACATTATGCATAGCAATTCATGCCCTATCATTTTTGCACAACTTTAGCACATTTCATGTTTGCTTAAAACTGGCTAATTGTACAAAAAAAAATTCTGAAGTGAATTAAGATTTTGATAAGGTAAATCCATAAAACCTTTGCCATTTGACTTATTATTAATATGTATCAAATGAGTAATGCAATGATTTCCTTTTACATTGTAGATGGGAGGATATGAAATAGATGATTCTTAAAACTTCAAAATTTTACACTTACCTGAAAGGCTACGATAAATTATCAAATAATGCTATAATTATACCCATGAAGAATAGAGTTACTTTTCATGATCTATTATTAAAGATTTGAAAAAAATTCATGTACCCCACCTTAAATAATAGCAGCACACAAAAAATCACTCATTTTCATAATCTTCAATGTGACAAAAAAACTTCGAGAATGTGAAATTTCAATAGAAATAGGAAAAAGAAGGAGCCGTTGATGTACGAAATACTTTCATATCTTAGCATTTCACTCATTAACGGGTGGCTTTAGCAGTAATTGGAAATGATAAACAATGGTTACATATTTTAGCATTTCCTTTAATCCTGAATTCAACCACTGATAACTCAAGAAAATATCTTCCTGATATTGTTATAATCGATTAAACAATTTTTTGCTGGACCGATTTGTATAATTTTATTCTTTTCAAATTTGATTAGTAGAAACTGCATCTGTTTGGTTGGTATACTTGGAGATACAAAAAAAAATCTCATGATAATCTAGAGAGAGTTAAAGGGAGAGAAAGAGAGAGGGATAAAGGAAAATGGATACGAAGAGTATAACGAGATCATTTTGAATTTGAAATGCTAAAAAAAAACAATTATTGTAAACTGTTTGCTTACTTCTCCCAATGAGAGAGTTCACATCCTAATTTAGTATTTTCTAATTTGACACTAAAAACATAAATGTTTCGAATTCAACAGCATTAAATTACATTATTTGAAACAAATCATTTCATTTTCTCACTAAAAAAAACCTCTCTAAAAACAATTTAATAATTATGTGTATCATTTTTGTGTTGTTTATTTCGCTTTTTTTTAGTATAGAAGTACTACCAACAAGCAAACAAAAACAATTTCTCTAATAATAATAATGATAATTTAGTAATGATTCGAATTAAACTAAAAATAAAATAAGATGGCACCGGAGTGAAATTAAACTGAAAATAATAAGATGAGTGAAGCGATCTATCACCATATAGTACTATCATTTGCACCCAAATTAATTACTAAATTCAACAAAACAAAGTAAATTTGAATTTTAGATTTAATAAACAAAAAAAAAAGAGCATTGTAAAAACCATAAAACGGTATACCGGGACGACACAGATGCCCTGAGAAAAGAGAATTGTCACTTTGTAACCACAACACAAATATCTTTCCTTCTCAGTTTCGGACAATAAATTTTCAAAACAACTGAAACAATTCTATCTGAAATGATGAAAAGGGAGATTGGAATGCATGAAAGATTCATTACTGCATAAACGATAAGCTCAAAAGTTAATCAAATATTTGTGTTATGATATGCTAATTGAGCATAAAACTCGCTGTTACATACAATGAGATGATCTAAAAGGAGCAGAAAGAAATGAGGACATCAAAGTTAAACAAAAAAAAACTTTCTATGAAAAAGAAGGATGAAACCGTAATTTAGTTACTGCTATAACAATGTATCAGTATCTTCAGGTGATAGTTCAGACCTAGTTGATGTTGATTGACCAGATCTAGTAGAAATTAATGATGGACAATCCGAATGACGAGATTGAAGTGAGTGTGAAGTGGTTGGTAACGATGTTGGACGTGTAATACTGGTACCAATTAATGGACTGCTAATATCATCTGTTACACCGTAACTGCTTGGCAATCTTAATGGCATCAATTCCTCATTCCTGTTTCCCAACTACAAATTGCGTCAATTAATAAGATAATAAATGGTTAAAGGAAAACTTAAACAATTAAAATAACATCAGAATTGTTCTGTTGAAAGTTATTGCATATTACTTAGTTGATAAAAGCAGTTTACTGATAAATATGTAATGTTTAAACTTATCAATTAACTCAAATGCAATCAAAAATCAAAGTAATTCATTCCTAAACATTACAAAATTTGATGGTAATCAGAAAACTCAGATAGCAATCTCGTGATAGCTCCAAGATCATAGTAACAGGTCATAAAAGTTATGTGGCCAGAAATTCAAATTGATCAAGCATGAAAAATAATCGTTACCCTGAACGGATGAATTCCTGAGGCACTGCGAGATGAGTAAGTAGTTCGAACGGAGGTACCTTTTGGCAAACGATCGGAAGACGAATTAATTAAAGTATTTTCCGGAATTAGAACCCTCAAAATTTGTTCAAGGCTACTGTTGATCTTGTTTTCCATTTTTTCCAGATGGCTGTAAAAGATCATGTTTCATCCGTGATTATTAGATTAAAAAAATTTAAAAATTTGAAATCAAATTCGAACGAATCTTTCGAACAGAGAAAAGCGAAAGATTGAAAAAATGAATCAATCCATACCTTTCAATATCACTAAGCCTTCTCTCTAGCAGCTGATAACGAGCATCATCGTCCTCAGAACGATTACTCACTGAAAATCAAAAGTTAGTGATAAATTAAAAACGAATCGGATGAGATCTGATAAGTGGTTTGCTAACAAGTTAGAATGCCTCGTCAAAATAACAAACATCTCACTAAAAATAAAATTAAGAAATTTTCTGTCATACAAATTTTAACCATAATAAATCGTGGAGTTCATAAAGTTCAAACAAATGTGATAGGCAAACATTAAAATTTAGAAGCAGTAATTCTCACAAAAAATTGAGTGATAAGTAATAACAGGCAAGAAAAATGAAATCTGCCAAATCTCGACAGGTAAATAAATGGATAAGAAAAGTTCAGGGAAGAAGGAAGAAATATGATCTTTATAAGCTGGACATAGAATGTCATTTATGAATTATGGGATCAGTGTTATTAATGCAGCGATAAAAATATTCTTTGTAGGTACTTTAAATGATAAAAAATTTAAAATTTAATATTAAAACAATTTAATTTTAGACATTATAATTGGGAGTGAGGTTGGAAAAGAATTTTTCTAACACTTTCTTTTATCGTTCGATAATATGAGCTAATTAGCAAACAGAAATTTAAAGAAAAACACTGATTGAGAGAATTGAGAGAATACAACTAGACATACAATGCCTTGATACAGGATTGCTGATAATTCTGTGATAAGCTTCTTCATCACCCCTTACCAGCGGAATGCTTTCCACATGTCGGCGACATGACAGCAACATTTCACCTGCTTCATCAGTAAAAAGCTGGATTATTGTTAACAAAATAAGTTAACAAACACATTAGAAATAACAATTTATTCGCGAACTATCAGGATTATTCAGTCATTTAATGCAAGTCATTTAATCATTTAATTGTATAGTGGCATGATAATTGCGTGATCGTACTTCAGGTGTACTCCTATTTTAACCTTCAAATGATTTAACAATAAATCTATACTACTTAATTTAGGGGCTCATTGAATTGTCGATGGGTTTGGAGATATTTAAAACAATAAAATAAATGTTGTAGGCATTTGCACTAATTATTGGATGGGATAGTTTGATGAAACACTTATAAATATTTCACGAAATACACAAAGATTTCACGAAACACTTATAAATATAAATATTTCACAATTCAATTAGTAATGCTATTTTGTAAGGATTACTAATTGAATGCTATTTTTTTAGCATTACTAATTGGTTTAAGAAATGCTTTTTTTTTGCAAAAATGAAAGAAGCGTTAATAAGAAAGCATCCTCAAAGCGCAAAATTGGGAAAATAGAAGTTGTTTAAAGACGAAGGATCTTAAATCGCTAATACTTTGAGCTATGAAATGCCTCAAATTAGTGCAAGTGTTAGATTCCCACTACGAAATATGCCCTAAACTAACTTGTTGGGTCGGCTCGAGTAACAAAATCATCCCTCCTTTCTATCGAACCTGAAAGAATCTCAGATTCAAATTTAGTTAAATGAACATAATTTTAAAAAGTTATAGTTCTGTATTCCATAGAATTAAGAAAATTAAGAATTGTTATGTGGTTTTTTTATAATTCCAATAATTTCTTTCACTTCTGATTGTTAATTTTTAATCGCTCAGCTTGATTTGAATATAACAAATTGAAATTCAAAACGAAAGAAAAGTTCAGTAGCGCAGTTAAAAAATTGCATTTTTCAACAAATGCTGGATTATTCGACTTTCCACCACAATCTATCATCCCATTGTCCTTAATTCATCTTGTTCGTTAGACCTTCGTCCTTTCCTCACTTCAAATTAATGCCCAGCAATTTGATAAAAGCCAAGAATAAGAAACAGAAATAAATAAATTAAAGTCATTTTTATTTGTGATAAAAGAGAAAAAACATTGAAATATAAGTTGAAAAAGGAGTTTTTTTTAACCTTCTCGTTGAAGCGAAGATATTTTTTCTTTATCCAACAATGATGAAATTTGTAAAAGTTTGTGCCTGTCAAGTCGTTTCTTCATTGATTGAGCTTCCTAAATCATTCAGTTAAATGTCTGAAATTTTTAGAGAAAAAGAGGAAGTAGAAAAAAACTTGACAATGTTCATTCACTTAGTTGTTGAAAATTATTGGAAAAAATATTAGAATTTAGTGAAATTTATCAAAATCAAATATTTTGAGATATTAAGACTGAACGACTTTTTTCCAGTTTTAAACAACTGAAAATATCATAAAAAATTTGTGTGAAAATGAAAATATATATGAAAGATATGAAGCGAAAATGAACTAACATCTCTTAAATTATATGTGATAGTTAAATTGCGACAAAAATTCTCAGCAAATTCAGGATAAATGTCAAGCACATCGAGCAAATCATCCCGTAATATCCTGTGCAAGTCACAGTAAGTTAAGGCCCGAACATTGCATGATGATTTGCCGACATCCTCATGTAACAACGGATTTTCCCCAAAGATGTCATCTTTTCCTAAAAAACATTCTTTAGAAATTGGTCCATTTCAAACTTAAAAAAATTCATTATGCTATCAAATTGTTGAAAGAATGTTGAATGGTTGATAACTGTAGATAGAAGATAACTCACCAAGAATGCCCACAACCATTTCATCTTTGAGAATCTCCACTGAGCCTCTCGCAATAAAATTTAATCCAGTAAGGACGTCACCTCGATGCACAAGTGTATCACCCGGTGGAGCATGTGTTGTTCGAAATCTACAATTTTCTTCATTTTCCTTTTTATATTTAAAATTAGGTAAAGAGTACTTTTGATAGCTTATTACTATATAACAACGTTTGTGGCGTAATCATTTCAATTATAATTAGTGGATAATTAATAACATTGCACTTTTATAAACTTATTCGTTGAATTAATATTACAAATTTTTATACTGAAAATTACAATTGTATTATAGAATTGATATAAAATTATTAAGTGCAGAAGAACCTCATGCTTAAGGCTCGTAAACAGCCAGGTGAACATCCGGCAAATGCTGGACAACTGTTGAGCAAATTTCGATTCAAATGCAGACATATATCTGCTTGAAGGCAATCTGGGAAACCTTTCAATACCTGAGAATCATTACTTAGCTAAGAACTGATACCTGAGAAAGGAAATGTCAAAAAAAATATTTAAACAAAATTTTCGACCAATAAAGAACGCATAGAAATTAGCATGACAGAAATGGCATTAAGAGATGACAATATCGATAATTTTTAAAGATATATTCAAGATCAGTAAAAAAGAGGATGAACTTACAGTATTCATATCGATACCATTGGTATAAGACCAGGCATGTTGAAAATATTCCTCTAACCTTTGTCGTAGAGGATTTGGAATTTGATGAAAACGGATGAATTCCCGTAACCTAGACATTTCCGTATGATATCTTGCTGTACCGCTATATAGCCGCTGTATTATTGCTGATACATTACCGAATACGGATGCATACATTAATGCTAAAATTTTGAAAATGAACAATTCTCAAATAATTAAATTTAATATCAAAAGCTTCACATATTTCAATATTTCGCTATTTACCATTTTTAAAATTTAATTTAAATAATTCTAACTTAAAAAAAGAAAGAAAGAACTAACATCCTAAAATCATCATAATAATAGTGAAAATTTTCTCAGAATCAGTAGTAGCAGAAACATTGCCAAAGCCAATTGAGGTTATTGTTGAGAGTGTAAAATAAAGTGACGTAACATAACGTGATTTTAGTGACGGCCCACCAGTCGGCGTACTCCCGTTTGTTGATAAGTATGGTTCATTTAAGTGACGTGCTGCAATAAAATTTTGACATATCAATCTCATTTCGTAAAATACGCTCTTGTAACAATATGTTTATACTTAGCAGTTCTACATTATGCATTAAATAGAAATGTAATTATAAAATTGAGCGCAATGGGACTAGACCTATTCCTTCCATTAGTAATTATTTCTTTCTCACTTAAAAGATAAGTGCTCAGCAAAATTGAACATGGGTTATGATAGTAAAGTTTACGGTGATCAGAGTATGTTAACAGATGGATTTTTTTAGCACATAACAATACGATTATTTGATATTTTCTGCCGTATCGTATCATGTAATTCAAGTGGAATTTCACGTAAAAGATACCAAGTTGATGTAACCATGTGAATTCCTTATGAGGCAATTCAGCGCTTCCAATTGCATACCAAATACAACCAAGCCAATGGGCAATTAATGCAAATGTTGCCATAAGTAATAACAAAACAGCAGCACCATATTCGGAATAACGATCCAGTTTCCTGGCTACCCGTACTAATCTTAGGAGACGAGCGGTTTTTAGTAATCCGATTAGAGTGGTCGTCTAAAATAAATACCAAACTTTGAAAGAATTCTTTCTTTTCTTTTTTCCTGTTGCTTGTTAATAAATCCCAAAATATTCTCGAATGCTTCAAATTTTTAAAACTGTTCAAGAAATTTTGAAAATTTTCATGATTCATAAAAAAGCATTACGAAAATATTTTGCAGTTAATTTTAAATTCAAAATTTCATCTAAGTTTCAAACTTTTTTGTCACAATTCGTTGAATAAAAATTTGAAACCTGGTAAGAATTTGACTTAAAAAAAGGTTAGTTGGCTTAAAAAAGTTAGAAGTAGGGTTTTGAGAAATTAGCACAAAGCAAAAAGTAAAATTTTAATAAGACACTTCCGTTTTGTAAGTTAGGTCGAAGATTTAAAAATGTTTGCAAAAATTTCCATAAACTTTGAAATCAATGGAAAACCTTTGC